TACATATTTACTGTGTTACAGATGCATTGAAGAAATGCTGGAGAAATGCCAGAGACGGGCTTTTATTTTTAACATTTTTTCCTCAAAATATGTTGCAGAAGTCCTCCTTGTAGCCATTACTTTCATTCCTTCCTTCCTGAAATATTTGGGGAATATATAACCAGACTTTGTGACTCTGAATGTCACCTTCCTCCACCTCCCTGGCCTGCCTCCTACTGTGGCATCAGTGTAGTGTGTGGTCTTGAGGTCAAGGAGCCCAGGGAGTGAGGAGGCCTGGAGGGAGGGGGCCTTGCTCACCAACTGCAGACTATTTTCAGACTAGAATAATTGAATGCTTTCTGTCCCAGATTTTTGGCTGAAATAGTAGAGCCGCTTGCTGCGAACCAGGGTGTCTGTGCCTTCCCTTCTGCACTTGAATGTTCTTCTGGGCACCTTGTGTCCTTGAAGGGAAGAAGATGGCTGTGCAAAACTGATCCAGCTACTGCCACCTTCTGCTGCCCACAGATGGATGTGCCTCCTGCCTATCAGCAGGTCTCTCTGGTAGCTGCAGACACACTTGCAACTGGAGTTCAGTGTAAAGACCCATTCACTCCTGTTTCCTGCCATCCAGCACCACCCCTCCCCACTCTGCTGCTTTCAGTGCTATGTCTCCACTGTTTCCTTACTCTGGATGGAGCCACTGAGGCTGAGGATTCACAGATGATCCACCAGAACCAGCTGTTAGCTATTTTTCTCCTCTGTCATCAAAGGAAAAGTCAAGGAAAGGTGGCTTCTAACTTGGAGAGGGTTCCACAGTCACCTGACCTCACTGCCTGCCACCTATGTGAGTGACAGAAGGTAGGATCCATCTGTTTGCTCCACTGTGACTAGATCACACACACACACACACAATTAGCAGGTAGGAAATTTATTTTTCAGGACACACATAACCCACCATCACAGGGAGGATTCTGGCGCTAATTTAGATGCAAATGGAATCGCCCAAGTAGAGCTGATCACAGAAAGGTCAGGGGTCTGTATTTCACTCCTACACATCAAGTTAACAGGCTGCTGCAGCTGTGGGCATGGAGGCTGTGCTTGGTTCTGACCTTAATTTTTTTAATATAGCCTTGACTTTATAGAAGGGGAATGTGACATGTGCTGTCACCTCCTCCACCTACCTCCTTTTTAAAAGAAAACAAATTGTTCATTTGGTCCATTTCTGCGATGCTCGAAATTCTAATAAAAAAAGTAAAAGTACATGGCTGGAGCTCTTAGGCTAAGATAAAAAAGGACTAGGTTAACTGTAAATTCACTTGCCATCCTGTTTAGGAAACTCAGCTCATTCTGTATGTACTTCAGCAGGACAGACCCTATGTGGGTAGAGCCCAGAGGGCAGGAACTGGGATGAGAACCTGAGGATGACCAGGTGGCACAGGCCATGTGAAACTACTACTATAGGGTATCTCAGGTGTTTTGGACTGCTTCTCACCATCAGAAATGTGTTTTGTACATTTGCAGATACATTTACAAGACATATGAGCAAAACACACACATGTGATATATTGTATTACGTGTATTTCAAGCAAAATAGATATGCCTTAATTTCACACAAACAGTACTAGCCCGGAATACTTGCAGGGTATGCTAACATTTTCAGTTGGAATCTGGTCTAAACCATTAATGAACCAGTAAATTGAATTTTCTCACCTGCTCTTAGGTCTCAAACTATACTTTCAAAACACCAGTTTAAGGGATTAGGGAAGCACTTACATGAAGAAGGAGCCAGGCCAGGGCTACAAGAGGCAGGTGGAGAAAGATTTATCTCAAAGGAGGACTAAATTGAGCTTGACAGTAAATTGAGTACCGGAATCAGGACTCCATTGAGCTGAAAAGCAAGCCCATCAGAATGTCTAAGCAGGTGTGTTCTTCAGGGTAGTGGCCCTCACCGTGTCAAGGGAATAACTTTCTTTAGGCTATCTCCACCTTTAGTATGAAGTAACATCCTCATGCTGTAATCTGAGTAGAAGTTGTTACTGCATACAATATGGTACCAAGATTTAGAGCCTCAGTGACTAGTAGTACTTCTATGTAGGTTTATGCTACCTGCAGTTCTTCATTGATAATCATCTAGAAGACTGAAAGTCTTCCTTACGTTCCAGCTGGTTGTCCTTCATCACTGGAACATGAAGCGCTTGCTGCTTTCCTGTCTATCTAATACTACACTGGGGCGTCAGTGGAAGACTCCATTTTGCATTCTGCACGGCAGAGCATCTTTCCTCTGGTGGTTTCCCATCAGCTTTCTAGTGATCACACTTAGGCTCTGGTCTCATCCTGGCTAAGGAGGCTGACTATTTAGGGGATTAGAAGAAGTTTCTGAAGGTATGATAATGGGGCAGGAGGAGATTTTCTGGGATAAAAGACTTCTAAAGGCTCTGTGGATTAGGTGGGAGAAGAGGTGGGAAGAGAAGAGAGCCATGTTTTCCTGGTTAGGGTGTTAGCTTAAGGCAAGTGTGACCTCAAATTATGGAGTTTACAACTTGATATTTAAGGGACTTGGGGTTTTAGCATTTATAACATGTTATGTAAATGCTGCCCCTCCAAGTGCTTTCTGAAATCCTCTTAGCTTATTAATGACAGCTTTGATTTCTAAAAAGAAATAAAACCTTTTCATTTCTCCAGCCTAGTGTAGTCAACAAGAGATGTTTAATGTCCTGCTTTCATGTTAGCCCCGGAGGCTAAGGACTCTTTTGGGCTTCTGAGAGATTCATGTCAGGCCAGTGTGACTTAAGGGGGAGGGCTGATGTCACACTCTGGGATTCTGCATGGCATGTCAGTGCAGCAGTGCTCAATGAGGTTGAAATGTGGTGTTAAGGAAGCTAAACACATGGCCAACATGGAATAATTGCACTATCATACAGTTTTATAATGATCAAGATTGCTAGGGAAGGGCTGGGATGTAGCTTAGTGGAAGAGTGGTTGCCTAGTGTGTGCGGAGGCCCGAGGTCTGATCCCCAGCACTGCAAAAGAAAAAAAGGAACGGAAAGTTTGTTAGCGAATTAGGCTTTTGCCTATCATTTTGGATTTTCTGCTAAAGAGGTCAAGTGGATGTGAGCAAATGGACTCCATGTTTGGATTGGTTATGAGAGTCATTTCCCCCTTAGCTATGTTCAGCAGCATCAGTTATTTTGGAGGTCTTCATGAAAAAAATACTTAGGGCTAGGGCATGGTGGGGAAGCTGAGGTAGGAGGATTTCAAGTTCAAGACCAGATGGGGCTGCATACCAAGACCCTTTCTCAAAAAACCATGGGCTGGGCATGTGGCTCGGTGGTAGAGCACTTGCTTAGCATGTGCAAGGCCCTGGGTTCAATCCTCAGCACTGCAATAATAATAATAGTTTATTACTATAATTATGAATTATAATAATGATGAAATTTTAAAAAGAAGAAAAAAATAGTCTACTTTCCAGACCTCAGGACATATGTAGAGGTTGAGGAGGGAGGGATTGAGAGTTGAGTTTACCTCTGGCAGATGTAAATCACTAGGTTGCTGGGGGGCTTTCATTCCTTGTAAGAAAGACCCTCTGATTGCCAGGCTTTGTGTACTGCACTGAGGTGATTAGGAGTGGACCTCCAGGACAGTGTTAGAAGGGCCCTGTACAGGGGACTAGAGAACGTCAGACAACACATACAGAAGCAGCTGGCTGCAGAGCAGGGGCAGCTTATGAAAAGCACTATTCTCAATGTAAGTGTAATTAATTTATTTGCCCAGGGTTGAAGCTTACCTGTTTCATCGCTATATTTGGGCTACGGAGAACCCTTGCAAGTGATCAGATGATGGCATGGTGCACTGAGTATTTGGGGCCAACACCGAGCTGGGGGAAGGGCGTTTGCATTCCAATGCTGTGCGGTGGGAGTGCTACAGAGTCTGAAAGAGTGAATTCACATGGGCTTTATCAACATACCTTGTTTAGAATAAGGAAAACAGACCACCGATGTGGTGATATTGGATCCATCTATCCAGAGCACAGCTGAGCACCAAGAACTTTTAAAAGTAATTTAAGCAGCCAAAATAGATACTGGCAAGCCTCTCTGCACAGATGCATCCATGCAGGGCCTATCTGCCCTTGTCTAGCAGATCTGGACATCTGGTTTCTAAACTGATCTGTGGGCTTTGAAAGCTGAAAATTAGGGAAGGCAGTATAAAAGGAATGGCACTGTAATGGTTAGACAAAGTGAAGCTGACCCTTTGAAGGGGAGAAAGAACGAAGATGAAAACTGGAGAGGAAGAGATGAAATCACTCAAAGTATCACCATCTGCTTCACCTGGAATCAAGTGTGCTGGACTCACGGCAGAGGTGGGAGGCATAGCTCAGAGTTTAGGGTGCTACTGGAACCTTTGGTGATTTTGCACATTGGAGGATGGATGTGCAAAATTTGAGGGTGGGCAGATTGATGACCCTGGTAATGACCTCTAGTGTTCAAGACTATCTATAATACTCTGCCTTAAGGAGAGTACAGAAGCATAGACTACCTCTTAAGATACTCCCAATCAAAATGTTTAAGGTTCAGATTTTTATGCTTTGAGCGTCAAATCCTTAGCTCTTTGAAAAACTTGACTCCTCAGAATCTTAGTCACTGAAAGACTGACGTTTTACAGCACAGGTAGAAAATATTAATTTGTATTATAAAAATGTTACAGTTCCTTTATTAAGCAGTAAGTTCTTATAGCACTTTATAAATAACACTTTCTGTATATTACTGAGTTGTAAAAAACTTGGCTTGAAGCTCTCCAGAAACACATCTGAACATCTGTAGCACTTGGTGTCTGTACTTCTCCTTTGGACTTTATTATATTATATTATGATTTCATTTATTATAGCTCATTTTCCCAGACATAAATATGTTCATATGTTTCTGGATCTTTATGCGTAGCAGATCCCAATAAATGTTTATTGAATGACTAATAATGAAACAAGTGATACACTTCCTAATTAATCCTTTTAATAATCTTCCTCCCGTGTTTGATTACACACTAAACCTTTATGGCATTTGATGATTAGAGTTGCCAGACCCTTGAATCGCTTCTTCCCACCTTTGCTTCTCCACCCTCACTGAGTTAAAGGGCGGAAGCACCATGAGGCACTGTGGATATGGGCAGGTTACCGGCTTCAGATGAAGCATGCAAGTATTCTTGATGGGGTCGCTGCAGTGAGGCAGGGGCCTTGGGAGCTTGCGTGGCAGCACAGAGAAGGTGCTCACCTGTGCTCACCCTGTCGTTGGTCCCAGGTGACTGTGGAGGAGGTCATGACTACAACTGCGTACCTGGACCTTTTCCTGCGCAGCATCTCTGAGCCAGCACTACTTGAGATCTTCCTCCGTTTCATCCTGCTGCACCAGCATGAGACTGTCCACATCCTGGACACTCTCACCAGCCGGATCAACACCCCGTTCCGGGTAAGGAGAGCCCCAGAGGAAGGGCGCTTGCAACCCAGATTCCAGGAGAGCTTGCTTGGGAATGGAAAGATGCAGATTCTCTTTTCTTTTTCTTCTTGCAGCTGTTACTGTCTTTCTATTTGAATGCAGATACACTATATAACTTTTTATTCTATCAAGAATCCTCTGACAGGGAGATGGTACTACCTTTAATAGGACATTTGTCTCAAAAAAAATGAAAAAGCATTAAAGGAAAAAATATTCACTTAATGCTCCACCTACCAGCAGCAGTTGACATTCATTCTTCTCAAGTGCACATGGAGAGTTCTCTAAGACAGACCACATACAAGCCCCGGTAAATTGTAGATCTCGGAAATCAAGATCACACAAAGTATGTCCTCTGGTTACAATGGATTGAAATTAAGAATTATTGACAGAAATTTGGGAGCTCCACAAATCTGTAGAAATTAAACAACACATTCCTAAGTAATGAGTAGGTCAAGCGAGGAATCACCAGGGAAATGAGAATTTACTTGGAGATGCAATGACATGGATAAACCTGAGAATGTTATACTAAGTAAAACAAGCTGGTCACAAAACACTTGATTCCACTCATCTGAAGTATCTGAAGGAGTCAGACTTATAGGAGCAGAGGGTCAGATGGTGGTCACCATCAACCAGAGATGAAGAGGGCTTCTTCATTGGTTTTGGGTTTCAGTTTTGCTGAACATTGCATAACAATGTGATGTGTTTACACTACTGAATGGTATACTTGAACATCATTAAGATGTTAAATTCCATGTTATGTGTCTTTTACCATAATATTTTTTAAAAAAGAATAAGTGATATCAGTTCTTCACAAAATCTTCCAAAAATAGAATGAGGGAACACATCCCAGTTCAGTCTATGAAACCAATGTTATCCTAATTCCAAAACAAAGATGTTATAAGAAAAAAAAAACCTACACACTAATACTTATTATGAATATAGGCATATACTTTCTTACTAAAACACTAGTACCTGGAATCTAGAACATATGAAGAGGATTATATGTTCTGATCATTTGTCAAACCCAGGATTGCAAAGCTAGTTTAAAATCTGAAAATCAATTATTATATCAACAGGATAAAATAAGAAGTCTTATCATTATTTCAGTAGACACAGAAAAATTGTGTGACAACAATCAGCATGATAAAACACACTCAACATACAAAGAATAGAAGGGAAATAACTCCCTCCATCTGATACAGGGTATCTACGAAAAACTCGGTGCTAATGTCATACTTAATGGTGGAGAAAGATTTTCCCCTAAGGAAAGGAGTAAGATGAGAATGTGTACTCATCACCAATGCTATTCAACATAGTACTTGAAGTACTAGCCAGGGATGTTAAATAAGAAAATAAAAACCACCCGAATTTGAAGAAAAACCATCTGCATTTGTAGGTGACATGATCTTTTATGCAAAAAACTAAGGAACACACTGAAAGGCTCTTAAAACTCACAATGAGTTCAGTGAGGTTGCAAGATACAAGATTAATGTATAAAACCCAATTTTAATTCCATATAATAGCAGTGAGAAACCCAAAAATCAAATTAAGACAGGTCCATTTACAACAGTATCAAAAAGAATAAAATACTTAGGAAAAAATTCACAAAAAAGTGTAAAGCTTATACTGCAAAACTATAAAAAATTGTTGAAAGAAATTACAGAAGACCTAACTAAAAGAAAAATATCCCATATTCATAGACCAGTAGACTTCATATCATTAATATAAGAATACTCTTCAAATGGATCTGCAGATTTAACGCATTCCCTATAAAACTCCTAGCTGGCCTCTATTGAAATTGATTTCAAAATTCATATGGAAATACAGAGGACCTAGAATATCCAAAACAAACTTTAAAAAAAACAATTGGCTATCCACATACAAAAGAATGAAGTTGAGCTCCTACCCCAATATACAAACATTTACTCAAAATGGATCAGAGACCTAAATGGAAAAGCTAAAACTATAAAAGAAAACACAGGCGTAAATCCTTGTAGCCTTAGCAATAGTTACTTAGGTAAGACACCAAAAGCATGAGCAACAAATGAAAAAACAAATTGCACATCATCCAAATGAAAAAGTTTTGTGCTTCAAGTAATAACATCATGAAACTGAAAAGACAACCCACGAAATTGTAGGAAATTTTTGTAAATCATACATCTGATAAAGTACTTGTACATAGAATAAAGAACTCCTACGACTCAATTATAAAAAGAAAAACACACCCTGCTGAGCCCCCTTGACAGTGATTTGCAGGGTTGCTATGGCAATAGGTAAGGATACCTAATTGAGACCGAGGACAGGAGTTTTGGGGTGGTAGTACTGTGAGAAAGAATAGAAAGATTTCCAAGGGGAGGTGGTGCCTTAGATGCCATTAAGAATACGTGGGAGTTTGTCTTGGAGGAGGCAGGAAAAGCCATTTGAGGTAAAGGAACAGCATGTGCAGTTGCTTGGAGTGGGACAGAAATGTTGCTTCTGGCTAACTGCAAGTGTATGACCTGCCTTGAGCAAAAGAGATGTTTTGGGGCAGGTCAAGTACAGCTATTTCTTTACAATACCATATGGACTTCGTTGACCAGGTTTTTAAGCCAATCAGCCTTGAAGACAAACTAACACTACTTAAATGGCCTGTAGATTGATGAAAGCTTACCCTCAGAAGGTACAATGGTTTTAGAATATACCTTTGGATATATCCCCTATTTGGTAGTGTATCTTTCCAGTTTGGAAATCAGAGAATGAAAGAATTTGTGGTGTTTTTTTTTTTAATGAACCTCTTACAGAAGTGTATTATCATACTATGGGAAATGGAACCAAGGAGAAAATTTGGCCCCCAAATCGAAACAGGTTGTGTGCAATTTCCTGTGAGCCCTCTTATATAAATAACCAAGGTCACATTTGAAAGTAACTTAGAAGGACTAATTACTGAGAGGGAGAGGGGGAAGGAAATGGGGAGCATGTGTATTAGGGAGCAGTAGGGGGCATATTTATCTAGATCTTTAAAAGCTGCAGTAGGGTCACAGGCATTTTTGTAGGAGGATAATTCTGCATAATGATATATTTCCAGAAATTGGCTTTCTAACTAACTCCTGTGGGAGAATGGATATCCTAAATGCATAGCGCTGTGCTTTTAATCAAAGGCTACTTTATTTTGTGATTCTGACGTGTTTACCATCTGTGGGGAGTGGAGTTGTCATCCTAATATCTGAAATAGAGCATGTGCTGATTCTTCCCAGCTGTGTGTGGTGTCCCTGGCGTTATTCAGAACTCTTATAGGTCTACACTGCGAGGATGTGATGTTGCAACTAGTTTTAAGGTGAGTTACCTTTTTTTTGGTTTTCTTTAAAGAAAATTTCACTCTATAGTATCACTGTTTTATTTTACTTTGTTATATAAGCTAAGTAGGGGCTATGTTTCTAAGGAAGAGCATTATCAAGTGTGTCAATTCTGTTTTTGTGTTATTTCCCAAGGTTAATTTTTATTTTATTATAAAAAGTTTTTTTGGGTGGATCATATGCATTATATCATAAAAATGTTCTTGGAAACAATAGACAGAATGTTGGAAATTTTTGAGAGTGTTATGAAAGCTCATAGAGCTCGTGGATGGACTTCTTTTTCCTGAAGGGCATTTTTTGGGGACCTTTGTTGCTAAAAGCAACTTTTCCAAATATGAAATGCTGTTCAATGTAATTTCTTTGATTTTTTCTTTGCCAGTGACCCACACCCAGGGTGCACAATCCCACGTGTGTGTTTCAGTTGAATTCAGTGCATAGTAAGAGTACTCTCAGTGTGTAATTCAGAAGGGAGGAAGCTTGGAGCATGGGAACCGACAAGGACTCAGGTGCAAGGTGGCAAAAATATGTCCTTCAGCAAAGGTTTCCTAAGCGGCTGGCATTTGAAGAGGGGTGTTGAAAGTTAAGGTGGAGTGCTAGAAAGATGATCATAGTTTGGTAATTCAGGTAAGGAGACTTGGCACCAAATCCTGTCTTGGCCCAGCTGTGCCTGTCTTCCCTGTGGTAAGCGTCTGCTTTTGTGGAGGAAAGCGGTGATGCTTTATTGTTAGCTCAGGCTTTGGCTGAATCCCAGTGTAGAACTCTTGAGATGCTAGGCTAGACCATGGTGCATTCTTCTCCTTCTTTTCACCAAACCCAAGTCTTAAACTTGGAAATCACTCCTCTGATGAAACCCACTCCAACACTGCTGAAAATGGAGCGAGGCAGAATGCAGGCCCAAAGCTGAGTGTGCTAGGCCTTAGGAATTGGTATACCTGCAGGAAATAGCACACTGGGAGTGAAAACGGCTGCCCTCAGAGCCCTGGTGCCAGTAGAAGGACTGTCTCCCAGTTCAGGTCACTGGGCCACAGTACAATGTCATATGCCTATTTCCTGACCTTTGTTTTCATCTTTTCTGTAAGTTGAAACACTACTATAAGCAAGGCGGGATACAGGTTGAGACTTTCTGTCCCCCCAGTTTGGGCCAAAAGTATAAATATGCTCATTTTTCCATGCATGTGTTTGTGTGTGTGTGTAATGTTATTTTCTCTTAACGTGCACAAATGTTTAAACCCAAGCTCTATGGCTTGGGGCTGGGGTAACAAGAGGAGTGCAGGGCTAGGACTGAGGAGCCCCAGGGGACAGGTGGCCCCTGGTTGTCCTTGTACTTCCTACTGGTGGTGCAGAGCAAGAGAGGCAGCCAGCATCCCGACATGGCATGCCTTCCTTAGTAGAAATAAGGGCAGGTGGAGCTGAGCGCAGGGGAAGAGGGGAGGCCTGGGCTTTGAGGAGTCAACCCTAGGGTTTTTGACATAGTGGCGACTACTGAGGAGGTGTAACAGCATTTCCAAATAACTGGCTCTGGAAATGTAAGGGGGTGTCAGGTGCCATCTAGGGACTGCAGCATTGGCCTCATTGTCTAGGGGCTGCCAGAAATGCAGATTCTCAGGCTCCTCTCAGAACCTCCTGAATCAGCAGCTCTGGAGACGCGCCCAGGGAGCTGTGTTTTAACAAGCTCTCCAGAGGACTCTGATGTACTGCCAAGCGTGAGAGTCACTGGATGGTGCGGGATGCGCATAGCATCCCATAAGAGGGAACAATTTACAATGAGCTGAAAAAAGGCCAGGTATGGTGGTCTACACCTATAATCCTAGCTACTTGGGCAGAGGATTGCAGTCCCAAAGCCAGCCCATGTAAAAGTCTGAGACCCTATCTAAAAAAAAAAACCAAAAAACAAAATGGAAGCAAAAAGGGCTGGGAAAAGTCTGAAAAAGTTGGTGTCATACCATGGAGAGCCTTACAGGCTTGCCATTTATGGAAAAGGCTCACCTATGAGATTTTTAAGTAAAAAAGAGTTTTTGAACTTTTTCAGATGAGGTCATTAGTAACTAATCTTCAGGCATTAGCAGAGAACAAATGTGATCATAAAGGAGCATGCTGGGTAGTCTGTCCTAAAAGGATTACTTTAGCTCCCCTTTGCTCTATTGGCAGACAGAATGCATTAGTGAGGCCACAAAGAAATCCAGCAGAACAACTTGGCTAAGCCTTTTTTATTGCCAAAAAACAGGCTTTTGCTCCAAGGTGGGTAAAAGCTGATTGTATTTAAATGTTAAATTCTTAAATGCTGCTCCTTTGATGGCAAGAAGAGCAGCTGTTTACAGCTGTTTTACCAGCGCACAGACATACAGATGCCTGGCCTTGCTTGGAGGTGCACAGCTTCCCCACTGGAGGTCACCAGGGCAGGTTTGCTTTCTGGCTATTCAGCGACCTTTACAAGGGGCGCTCTGGTCATCTCTTGTCTGCTCACAAAACAGTGTCTCTTCTATTAAAAGCTGTCCTCCAAAATGGCCTTAGCCATGGCTTCGTCTGAGAACCAAACCTTGTACCTACTTAGGATGAAGAAGTCGGGGCTAGGCATTCCTGTACTGGGTAAGGACTCAGTTCCCCAAAGTGCCTGCAGGGCGTGTCGTCACAGCTCTGAATGAGGTAATGCAATTGGACTGCCTGGTTCTAGGCTCTCTGAGCCCGTTTGCTTGTTTCTCTCATGGAAATGAGGGTGGTGAGAATACCATAGTCTGGTCACTCTTCACTGGGTGTGTCCTCTATTTCTAATTCTACCACAAGAGACTACTGGTCCCTGCTCTCCTTCCTCTGAACTGCAGATCTGACACCCCCGTTCCAGTTTTGGAATATGCTGCCTCACAAGGTTGTTGGAAAGACCCACCGTGGTATCACCATGGAAATGATACAAAAGCCACACAAACTTCAGGGAGGGGAATTTTCTAGAAAATATATTTAAAACTCATGAAAACAAGTCTTTTCTGATTCAGAATCTGTTCTCGAAGCAAGAACAGCAAAAAGTCTTCATTCTTCTAGTCATTTAAACTTCATTTTAAGGAACATAAAAACTAGATTGACAGTCTGTCGTTTTGTTTTCGCCTTCACTGTGGTCATTTGAATGTAGGTGATAAACGTGTAGGTCTGAGAGTCCTTAGAGCAGTGAGGGTGAACTTATGTGATAGTTAAATAATAACCACATATCAATTTCTGTTGTAACTCAAATACTCTTAAATATTGACACTTCATAAGATATTCTATTTGTACCTGACCTAAGTTTCTTTCATTTGGCAAAATATCAGAAAAGCAAGTTGAAATAAGATACCCTGAAATAGGATATTTTGATGAGCAGAAAACCAAGGAGAAATGGCCCACCTCCCCAGGCATGCCATGTGATAGGCCAGGGGCAGGCAGAAGTGCTGACAGGCAGTGAGTGACAGCCACCACTCCAGGAGCTTCCTGGCGTAGGTGCAATGGAGTTGCTGTTACCATGTTGAGTATACTGGTTAGGGTTGTGAGCTACATTGCCTGGCAGGTGCAGACAGAGGCTGTTTTCCTTGAAGAAAGGCCGTGCCTCCACTTCCACAGCATTTCCATCTTGCATAGGAGCTGTTTCGTTTTTTACCTCACTGTAGCAATAATCAGTAAGTGTGCTTTGTCATCAATTGTTTCAGGAGCGGTGGCTTATTCTAATGAGTGATAGCCAGGAAAAGAGGAAACAGACTCAGACTTGTAGAGGTTTGGGGACAAAATGAAAACAGGGATGACAAGTTGGATGGTTTTTGTCCTGCTGTGTTGGGGTATGGCTTTGAGTAATCTGGATGTCTGAAGTCAATATTTATGAGTCTCTGGGTTATTTTGATTTCCTGAACTTGAATAAACTCTTCAAACAAAATGAATATAGTATAAATAAAAGATAGCTTGATGATGAATACCTGTACTAAATGCCTAAGTGATTTTTCTGGTATTGACAGCTACCTTATTTTGATATTTGACATCTAGGGAGCATCCAGAATTCATTCTATTCCTTTTTTCCTGGAAATGATGGAGAGACAGAGGGCTCAGGCATGTTTTGACTGCTTTTCTCCATGATGTGACAATCCTCCAGGAAGGATGGCTTTGACTCCTGAGGAGGTTATCCATTTGAATGACTCCGCATTTCCACATTCACACAGCTCTCTTTTAACCGACAGGGGATCTCCCTTCATTTGATTTATTCAGAGGAAAATCCTTAGTTTCTGCTGAGAGCTGGTATTTGCAAAGTTGCAAATTGCCAATAACTCTTTATTCTAAAAGAATTTCAAGCTATTCACTGGTGATATTTGATAAATAGTTTTATAAGCTTTGAGCCAGGGTTCCATTTTTTTAAATACTTCAAACAAAGAGTACAAATCTATGTATATCAACTTAAATCATGAAATATGCTTGCTTTGAACTGCGAGTAGTAATTGAGTTCCTGCAGTATATAAAAACATTGAAGCAGTTTATTACATAAATAATGAATGACCAAAATGGGGACACAAGTCCTTGTACTCTGAATTCCCCTCAGCCTCTCCAGCCTCCAGGAAAAGAAGAATTCACATCAGCAACTACAGGACAAGTTTCCTTGGGTCTTACCTGGGCCACCTCTTGTCAGACCTTGATCCCCGACAAAACAGCAGGTACCACCTCCAGAATCCCTGAGTGAGGGCTTGTGAACAAGTCTGTTTCCTGCCACTGTTGTCACAGCAGTGTCTGCTGTGGGCTCCTCACCTGCTCTGGCCCCTTTTGTTGGTACTGCCTCATCTCCATCCCTGGTCACCAAAGCATCTCTGCTTACAGAGATCTTGGTGAAAGAGCCCACTCATTTCTGCCTGTTGCATCCATCCTTCTCCTACAGGGGTCAGATGTGGGTCCCCAACGATGAGCCAGGAAAAGCTCAGACCTGCCCCCTTTCCCATGCTGCTCTCCTCCATCTTTCCTTTTTGTTCCTGTTGCTCTAGGCTTTCATGAAACTGAGCTCATGAAAACAGATGCCACTGTGTCAGGTGTGACTGATAGGGTATATCTGGTCATTAGTGACAGCAGGTTGTGTGTAATGCCCACTAGGATGGGGGAAGGAGATGGGACCCCCCCACCCCTTACCTAACTACACTAGGTATTTAGATACTTGATAAATGGTTTGACTTGGAGAGGAGCTGAAGGTTAGACAGCAAGTTAGTCATTTTATACTTGAAAAGTATTCTTAAAATCTTTATTTAAAGTACCATGAAGGGAATCGAATGGTTTTGACTCAGGCTCCTGGAGTGGATTGGCCATTAATCTAAACAGGTTTTCCTCATTTGGATCATCAGGAGCTGTGGGAGACGGCTCCATGTTTACAGGGCCCGAGACATTTCCTGCAAGCTGTGCTTTTTGTATTTTCATGGGAACCTTAATCATTGCTTGTTTTCTTTTGTACAGCCTCTTTCTTGAAAGCCGAATGCAGAAACAGAAAACATTCTGGTTTATGAAAGGTTGTGATTGTTCTCATAAGGGCTCAGGCTGCTCTTGAATTTGCTCCTGCACACGCATGCAACACTTGGCTCTGGCAATGGCTCCTTTATCCCATTTGTCCCATCTTTGTTTAAATAAACAGTGTGGTTTCTTTTCCCTGATAAGAAAGTGAGCCATTTAAACACACTTCATTCTACCCACAGAGCCCACTGAGGGGCTCCAGATGTGTTAGGTTTTCTTGTTTCCAGATTCATGGTGACCAACCAATGGAGTCTTGTCTGAATGGGGTTCAGTGCTCCTTGCTGAGTCCTTGGCCACCATATTTCTTCCTGGTCCTGGTCACCCATGAGAATAGAAGAGGTTTACACTATGGAGTGGTTTTCCTGCCTTCATTCAGTGCCCACCATGAGCCAGTTTTTAGGACAAAACTACTGAAGTGGGTCTTTGGTCTGAAATTATTGTGATACATGGTAATGGTGCTTTAATAGTGAGCACAGTGGAGGGAGAGATGGGCTCTGCCTTGGAGTGGGAGTTGGGAGGCCTTTCCAGAGAAGGGGGCATTGAAGCTGGATGTTCAGGCTACATTTGTCAGACAGAGCAAGGGGAAGGCACAATCCAGATGACAGTTACAGTGGGTGTAAAGAGGAAATGAAGAAGAGATGGGGAAACTCGTGGAGGTTAAATTGGGAAGGCCAGGAATTGCTATGTAGAGGAGAGAAGGAAAGGAAAGACCCAGCTGGCTGGTGTGCTGGGTGGATTGAGAGGGGGAGATTATGCTTTACAAGGTCAGTCCCCCCAGTGGTTGGGGACATTGCAGAGACTGAACACTGGCTCTTTTTGTCATTTTAGGTATCTGATCCCCTGCAATCACATGATGCTGAGTCAAAGATGGGCTGTGAAGGAGAGAGATTGTTACTCAGTGTCTGCAGCCAAGCTGCTCGCCTTGACCCCTGTCTGCTGTGCCAGCGGGATCACCCTGACGCTTGGGAACCAGGAGAGGGATTATATCCTCTGGTCAAAGTGTGCACATGATGGCTCAGGTGGGACACTCTAGTGAGGACCTTTAAACCCTGGGGGTGTGGGTCTCTCTGGATAGATGGGGAATGGCATAGAGTCATCCTATTTCTTTTGTGAATGGCTGCTTGGGGTCCTTTTCTGCTTCATAAGTGAATCAGTGTTCACCTAAGCACCCAGCTTATTTGCCCCAGACCTTTATTTTATATGGCCTTCCTAGTGGCTTCCTCAGCATTCAAATGTGAAAACGTGTACTAACGTGTCTTCTAAGACTCGTGGAGATGCTATAGCAAAGATAGAATTTGCATTTATTTTAATTTTCAAAATGACATTTGAGGATTGTATGCCTATCAGTATGATACCATTATAAAACTTGAAACTGATGATATGGCAACATTGTCTGACCCATTTGATTGACATAGTGGGGCTCATAAACACTGCCTTTACAAAGGGCCTAATATGTCCTATTTTGCTCATTGTAATTCACCTTGTAGAAGTAAATTTAAGATGGCCATCTCTACCAACCCCTGTCCTCTAGCAAGCACCTGGAGCTAGGGGGCAAATATTTGTGTATCTCTGATGGTCACAGGACTGCTTCAGTTCAGGAATGTTCTGTCTGTCCTGTGACCGCTAGGAAATGGTCCTGGTGTTGACTGCAGTGTTCTGATAGCCTGTCCAATAATGTCATTCTGTCTAGCCAGCCACAGTCCCCTTAGAAAAAATATTTTTAAGAGCCAGGGTACTTTCTAGGGTAACATTTATGGATAAAAAAGGAGCCAGGCTACTTAACTAATAAAATATTAGCATACGTAATATAAAATTAGTTTTTAGAAATTAAGGTTATCTTACTGATTGTTGGTCTTTGGATAAAATTAATTTATGTGACCAAATCTTTTAAATGCATTTTCCTATTAGGCAAACCAGGGTGGATACCTTATATTTCCTCACTCAAAAGTTATTTTTAAAAACGTATTTAAAAACTGTGTCTTTCTGAATTTACTATGAAAGTCATTTCAAGAATGAACCTGTGGCTAAGCTTGCTTCAGAATTCAAGATGCAGTTTAAACACGTGATTGTCCAAAACCTACCAACTTCTTTCTATCCTGAAGAGAGTAGTATCCCCATTTTACAGATGAAGAAATGAATCAGAGAGGAATTGATCTGTCAGGGCTATATAACTTGTAGAGTCTCTGGGCTCGTATTCCATGTTTTTCTCTATCCTACTTCTGAGGTTGCCTCACAGCAGGTAAATGCCCTAATGATAGATTACGTAGCTAGCTAGTTAGTGTAATTATTGTACAGTGGGTAGCACCTAGGATTCTGACTCCTGACTCTGCCACTTTTTTGGGCAAATTACCTAACCTTTCAAACTTTTTTCCTTATCTGTGAAATAGAACCTAGCCCAAAGGGTTGTTCAAGGCTAACAGAAGACTGGTGTGTAATAAATATTTCTAGTGGTAGTTGTTGATGTATTTTTGTTTAAAGTAGGTAGAGATGAACATCTTCTGGCAGTAGAGTGTGAAATGTGAATTCTGTGTGCCATATATTGAAAACTTATACTCTTGAAGGCTCTACCTGACCCAGTCTGGTAGAGATTCTGATCATGAAGGGGCAGGTGGCTCATTAGAGGTGTGGCACTAAATGAGAATGAGGGTTAGTGTGAGGTGTCCAGTGCTTGAACAGTGACCCTGCCACAGTTGGGTTGGGTGTTCTTCCATCTGTGAGTGAGTGAGGAAAATAAGGGTCTCCCATATAGAAGCATAAGGAGGGTAAATTTCAGTAGCATTGAGAAAAGGTCTCAACATTCTACATGTTTAAGCAGTGGTGGGATATAATTTTCTTTGTCTGAATCTTTTAAAAAACTTCCTTTGAGGGAAAATGTAAAGTTAAAAGCAGATATTTTCACAACTATTTCAGTAATGAGGGTGTAACTTTTAACGCAAAAGGCAGTCACATGGGAACACAGTGTAATCTCAGGTTAAATGACTGTTTTGATTTGACCATGACTTAATGTTGAAGACCATTTGATGATACATCAACATCCTGGTAGTCTCCAGGAAAGCTGAATGGGTTACTTGGCGTTTCTAAAAACCTGTGTTTTTTTTTACATTAAACTTGGTTCTCAAAATCCAAGGGGAAACCTGCCTTTTACTTCAGCACCAAAGTAAAAAACTTCAAGATTACCCACTCTGTAGCAGGTACTAATACACACGTTAGGTGTGTGTATTACCTAATGGTGTCCTGTCATCCTGAGAAGTGACTCTGATTAGCTCTTATTTCTTTAACAACTGATGTCAGATAACAATTTTCTGATGGTTGTCGCCAGCGTCCGCCCTTTTTAGTTTTATATTTTTCACGACAGCACTGTAACTGTCTTTCCTTCTTAAAATCTAAACTACTTTTTCTTACTTAGAAATCACTTCACAGGCAATCACCAGGCCTAAAGTGGCTGATGAAGTCACATCCCCTCTCGTCACACCGTTTCTCACTGCTGTGTGCTTGTGTGCAGGGCCTGCAGAGCCGCTGTCTGGGGCGCCCTCCCCGGCAGCCTGCATTGTGGAGTACGGGAAGGCCCTGGACATCAGCTACCTGCAGTACCTCTGGGAGGCCCACACCAGCATCCTTCACTGCATGAGGGACTGCCGTGTCTGGTCGGCCCTCTATGATGGGGACTCGCCTGACCCCGAGACTTTCCTGCAAAGTCTGACCGAGGAGAGTATGTCCAGAATCCCACAGCAATGCCCCAGGACGACAGGGCATCAGCCGGCTCCGGCCAAGGACAGGAGCCAGACAGAGCTGGAATGGGATGACAGCTATGACACTGGGATCTCCTCAGGGGCTGATGTGAGCTCCCCCGGGCCTTATGATGACCTGGAGAATTCTGGGCCCCCAGCACCTGTGGATCCTCCCAAACACATCCAGGAAATGAAGAAGAATGCCATCCTTCTCTTCAAAGGGTCGTACATTGAAGAGTCAGACTTCCAGGACGATGTGATAGTGTATAGGCTGTGTGCTGACAAGGACTCAGAGGACACCAGGAACTTCCAGGAGGAAACTGTAGAGCCCCCAGCTCAGGCCCAGCCTGAGGTTCAGAGTCCTCCCATGAACAATGGCCCTCTCCCTAGACCCCAGCCGGAGACAGATTTGGAGGAGGAGCCCAAGCAGGACAGTTCAGACTTGTTTCCGAAGGTGTCCAAGGAAACAAAGCAAGAGGATGAGCCTGAAGTGGCCCCAGAAGCCAACTCCCAGGTGGCAGCACCCAGCTCTGAGGTAGAGCCCAGCTCTACCATACCTGTTGTCACCCCAGAGAGCGAAGATTTCATTGCCCAGTGTGACCAAATCATTCAGGAGCTGGGTGCAGGCACTGAGGGTTTGATGGAGCAGAACGTCCCCACGCCTGATCCTGTGCTGCTCTCAAGGGAGGAAGAAGTGAGGGAAGAAGGAAGCAAAGGAGAAAAGGAGGAGGGGGAGAGGGCCTTCGAAGAGGAGGATGATGACCTTGACTCTTTCATGGAGGGAACTCCTGCTGTGGAGACTGTGCCTTCCCCGTTTGGGGTGAGAGAGGACACATCCATTGCCAGTCAGCATCCTGTGAAGACTCAAAGCGTGCCATTCACAGGTGACAACCTTAAATTGCTTTGTGATTTGAAAGTACTGTGTATATTATAGGGACATGAA